AAGAAATTCTTCCCAAGATCTAATCTAAACCTCCTCTGGCACAACTTGAGGCTGGTTTCTCTTGTCCTGTCACTTGTTCCTTGGAGAAAAGATCAACTCCCAGAGGAGAGAGCATAACTAGAAGTGCTGCATTTCTGCTAATTTGTTCTCATTTCAGAAGGAATGAGAAGTTTTGTTCACAGAAAGACAAATCATTGGAATTTCACCCTAACTTTTCTAATAAAAGGAAACAGTTCCATTACAAATTGTCATGACAAAACCTGAATAATTTCATCCTGCACTGACAGCAGAGTTCCCACATATTTAAGTGCTGCTAAGATGAGCTCCTTTTCCTCTGGTTACTTGAGGTCTCATTTGTACCACCTGCAGCCAAAGGTTGCACCCAGAGGTGCAGAGGGACCATCAGTAAAAGGAAAAGTGGTTTCATCCTGGCTCCAACCAGGACTTCTGTGCAGTCCTGGCCCTGGAGCTGAAGCACTGCAGGGTGGTTTGCAGTTCTGCCTCTTGATCTTCCCAACTTTCCAGATGGAGACTGCATTTTTAGAGCCACCTTGGCATCATACTGTTATAAAAGAAAGAGCAAAAGGCCCCAGCCCTGTGCCAGCCCTGGTGAAATGCTCACAGGGACATTGGCAGAGCAATGTCCTCCTTGGGTGGGAGGAGGAAAGTGATGCTCCACTTTCCCTTCCCAAAGGAATCACTGTGGGAAGTGGTGCTTGCAACACCTGGTATCCCACTGGGTGCCAGACTGTGCTGAGGAAGGGTTGGTCACAGGTAGCCTTGCATCTGTGCTCAGGAGCCTGCATTCAAACAGCCTACAGCAAGAATTGGTCTTTTCAGTGGGAGACAAGGTGGCTTCTCAGCTCAGAAACCTGCTGAGGAAAGGCAGGCTAGGAAGCCTAATGCTGGACACCCAAGGCTGCTGACAAAACCCTCCCTGCTTCTTGCTGAAACAAGGGAATTGTAAAGGCAGCAGCAAAACTGACTTTTCTAGGTGATTCCAGAAGCCCCCCTCTTATGCAACAGGAAATGATCTGTAATTCCTGCCCAAGATACAAGTTCTAACAAGGAAACTTCAAAATGCACATTTTTATACTCGTAGGCAGAGATTCACAACAGCTTCTGCCATGAAAAGCATCTGCAGGTTTCCAAATATCCCTGTTGGACATTTTCTATCCAGCTGAACCACAAGACACTGGTGACTTCAGACGATGACACGTAAGTATTCACCACTTCTCCAGATCCAGAAAGCATGTATCCCTCCATCCATCCCTCCATCCATCCCTCCATCCCTCCATCCACTTGGCAGCAGATGTGCACAGCAGCAGCACCAGGAAAGCTCCCAGCAATAGGAAGGATTAAGGCCAAAGGGTCCTTCTTACTGCCACTTCCCTGAGCTTCTTTTTATTTTAGTGGGGTGGTTCCAAATGAATCCACTGTCCTGGAAGTCTGACACACCCCTTGGGCAAAACAGCAGAGCAGGGTTTTCCAGAGGTGCTGGAGAAAGGGTTAAGCAGGACAAAGGGAGGCTCAAATTAGATGTATTTTTTCCATAGCCTTTTTATTTTGCTTCTGTATCTGGACTTACCCTTTCACTCAGCACTAAACTCCTCACTGCAATAACTCGGTAGGAATTCTGAGGAAAAAAAGGATTTAAATAAATAAAAAGGAAAATCAAGACCTATCTGGAGTCCTGCTGTAACCACAGGGAGCTTTGCTTAGAAAGCCAAAACAAAAACCAGAAGCACAGCAGAGAGGAAGAGAGAGAAAGGGGGGGAAATAAAGTTCTGATCCAGGATTTGGAGTGTTGAATTTAGGAATTTGAAAATCAAAGTATGACCAATTTGGGAGCATTTTAAAACTGAAATATAACACATTTTAGAAAACTACACAGCAGCAATTTCACCCAGCACTTTCTGAAACTGTAATGTTTCAATGATTCCTCCATGCCTATCACTATTCTAGTCACCTTTAAATGCTTTCTGCTACTGTCTCATTTTAAATGTATTGTATTTCAAAGAGCTCTTAGGATGGTGCTTTTAGAGCCTGAGCCCACCTAAATGCTTTAAAGCAATTAACTCCTGATCTGCCTAGCAAAGCCTTGTGTCAAGGCAGCCCCTGAAAGCCCACAATGGGAAGTATTCACCACACACACACTCAGGTGAGCACACCTGGCTGGTGCTTGCAGGCCTCAAGCTCTTAAGAAAACCTTCTCAGGGTAAATTACTAGAAGTGCATTTAGTTCAACAAGAAAGTGGAACAGGAACTTGGTATCAGGAGGCTGCACAAAAAGAAGAACTTAATAAGGGAGAAGAGAAGTGATGAGTGGCTCATGCCACGTGGTGCATTTATGGCTTGAACCTGAGAGCATCCTGCACGGGTTCTCAGTTCACTTTAACATCATATTAGACATTCCTTTATTTTTTCCATGTTTTTCCCTTCCTCTTGCAGGAGGACAGAAACCAATTATGCTCCCACAGTCAGCCAAATTTTCTGTCACGTGCCCTTCAGCTTTCATTAGGCAGATGTAACCAGCAATGACAAAGAGACCTGACCCTGCCTACCTCCCACAAAGTTCCACTTCCATCTTTAAGAGGACCCTGCCAGTGTGGTTGTTTTTCACTCAGGGGATGTTTATCCTCTGTGCTTTGTTCAATGCAGTAGAAGTGCAATGCACAGGGCACTTCCAGCAGGAGTGGCACAGGATGTCAGTATGGTCAGCACCAGGAGTGATGCCCAACACCAGCAGCCCTGCTTCTCCAGACCAGGGCAGCAGCTCATCCTCGAGGTGATGCAGAAGAACCACAGAGAACAGAGGACAAACAGGCTCTGATGGTTTCTGGAGACCCTGCTCTGCCCTCCAGGAATCCCACTGCCACCCACACAAAACATGTGCTGGACAGGGATGGAGCTCCAGCTCACTGGCCAGTTTGGCTCATGTTATCAGTCCTGAAGTCATGAACATTCAAACTTCTTCCGTGGTTTCATCCTTCCTACTGGACCACAAAACCTCTCCTCCCTGGAGGAGAGAACAGATCTACTTTTTCTTGAGGAAACCAAGCCTTCCTCCTCAGATGTCCCACTCAGAGCCCTGTTGCCAGAGCACCACGAGAAGATGCACCTGAGAAGGTACTTCAGAGGACACCTGCCTGCACCTCTCTCCCTGGAGATCCAATGGCCCTTCCTTGGAGTGGGAGGCAGAGCTCTGTGGACCCTTCCCAAGAACACTGAGTGCCCACAGACCTCTGGTTGCTGGGGATCAGCAGCTCTTGATGCTTCTTTTAGGATTTGTTTCATTTTTGCCTCTTCCAGTTACACACACATTGATGTGTGTCTATACTTAGTGTGTATCCCAGGAAGGGAGAGGGAAACATCTCATTTTACACCATGAACAGGGCACTGAAGACGTGCACAGACATTTTTTTAATGGTGCTTTACATGTTCTGGCTTGGCCAGGGTTTTCCTGTGTGTTTTGTGAGCCCAAACTGTGACAGTCCTGGGACACGTGTGACAGCCCGGGCAGAAACCAGGAGTTTCCCAACTTCCCAGCCTGTGGTCACACACTGGCACCTGATGTCTGACTGAGCTGTCCTGGATCCCTGGAAAATAACAAAAGCACCCAAAGAGCTTGTGGAAAGCAGCAGGGATGAGCTGAGCTGCAGGAGCAGCAAATTGTGCTGCAGGTGAAACGTGAAACCCGTGGGGATCAGAACCCAGCCTGGGGTTTGTGTCTTGGGGACAGGGCAAATGCAAACTGATTCTGCTGCTACATGGGAAGAAAGCTTAAAGATGGGAGAATGAGCAGATTATCCCAGAGCACACAAGAAATGCTAACAACAGCTTACATGCTCTGTGGCTACTCTCTACCCCAGACATGCTATATAATAATTTCTGAAGACTATGAAAATTAACTGGCTTCCAAACATGAGACACTGCATATTCTGGCTTTGGAACTGAAGCCATTTATTTTTTATTAACTATATCACTTTGAGGTGTCAATAAAACTATTTGTAGTAAAAAAACCACAAAGACCCCACCCAGAATAGTTTTCCATTTTACATACAACTCTTTTAAAAAGAAAAACAACATTATCAAGTACATTAACCTTATTTTTTCATTCATTTCAGCCAAGCCAAATTAAATAAAACTGCTGGTCCTGATTTCTAGAAAGAAAAGGCTTAGCTGTGACCACAGGACTACTTGCAACACAGGAGTAAGGAAAGCTTCCATTTTTAATGTGCCTACCCCATTAAGCTCACTCATACAGAGGCCACAATCTGTATCTAAAAATACCCCCTGCTTTAAGATAACCATGGTATTCCATCTAAATATTTACCCAGAACAAAACCCTTAGCAACTCTGTAAGATTAAATAGAAATATGGGTTCTAGTTCATATAATTGTGTGATCTGTGTCATCATCTTGTACCTACTTTGAATGTGCAAAATGTGCTGTACTGCAATGTCATGAAAATCACCAATTAAAAGGAAAACTGAACGTTCAGTAGAGAATGTTCCTCCTGAGGACTGTGGCTTGGCAGTGATCAGACAGAAGGATGTGGGGAAGATCCCTCATGGCACCGAGTCCTGTGGACCAAAGGGCTCCTGCCCTGCCATCCATGACCCAGAGCATCTCTGCTGTCCCTCCTGTTGACACCTTCTGAAGGGACCACCAGGGATCACAGGGATCATCTGGCCAAACCCTGCACTTCTTACACTGACTGGGTGAAAGAACTTCCCTACGTGGCCGCAAACACGAGGAGAAAAACATTCTGAAAAGAAACCTCAGGAACTTCAGGAAAGGAGGAACCTTAACTAATATTTTTACCATGGGAAAAAAATACAGAAGGTTTTGACCCATGGGAAGGACACTCCATTGAATTCTGAAAGCATTTTTGCTGTTAGGTCTCAACTTCTACACTTCCCTGTACGTGCCTTACACCGACACCTTCCTTTTTTCAGCCAACTTTAGAGACCCTATGATGGGAGAGTAACTTCTTACCTGGGGATATTATGTAGAAGAAGTCCTTGAACTCATCCATCCAGACCTCTGCCAGCCTCCTGTTGTTCTTGTTGATGACATGCCCTGTGCCACCAGGGAAGGTGTAGGGGGTTGCCTTCCTGAAAACGTGTCCCACGTGTGAGCAGGTGACGATCTCCAGGGAGCCCCCACACTGCCAGATCTGCAATCACAACAGGCAGAACACTTAGACTGAGGTAAACACAAACCACACCAGGTTTAGAGCAGGAGGGATTCAAACAGGCCAGAATCTATGTCCTGGTTTGTTTCCCAAGGTCACTATGCAACAGGGAATTCCAAGCAAATGGTGAGGGGCAACAAGCAGGAGGACAACTCTGGATTGCCATGAAGGTGTGAGAGCTTGGGTGAATGGGTCACAGAATGGTTAGGGTTGGAAGGGACCTTAAAGATCTCCTGGGGCTGTGTCCTTACAGCATAAATAGACACAAACCACCAACTCAGAGAGGTGTCATCCTATAGTGGCCTAAGGTTTGGGTAGGGAGACCATCTGGGTCTGAAGTTTCCAGGATTTCAAAATATTTAAAGAAATAGGGAAAAAAAAATTACTTTTCAATGTATATAGACATGTGTACAGTTTTCAAAGCAGAACCACATTGATGACCATGCCAAGCAAAGCCAGAGCAGATCTTGGTTAGTATCACAGACAGCAATAGAGGGCAGCAAGCACAGGTCTTCTGAACATCACAGAACCACAGAAGGGGAGCACAGATGCAAAATGCATGTTCTCTGGTTCCTATGCTGGTTGAGTATGATGAGCAACTAAAACCAAAACCCTAACAAACCTCCAGATGAAGAAGAGATTCTGATCAACTTCTCCTAAATGTAATCTGTCCCTTTCCATTACTGGAGTAAAAAATCTGCACTGTGATTAAGCTCAGTGTCTTCAATATGACTGCACAAGTGTAGCAGAATCATTTAATCCTGGACTCTGATACCCTGTCATTAAGTGAAGTAATGTATTCTTCTGTCAGGTCACTAGAGTTTTGGGATGATATCCATCAGTGTGTGTGATAACCTGTTCTGCAGCCTCTAGGCTCTGGGAGAAACTAGTGAAGGAACTCCAGAAGGCTGAAGGTCCAGCTCTGCAGAAGTGGAGGCACCACATGATTTCCATCAGATGCCTGCAGGGTTACAGGGTCTGGCTGTTCTGCCCCGCAAAACAAATCCCTTGGGATTCACATTCATGGACATTTTTGGCACCACCAAAGGTATCACCCACTGCCCAGTGCCTTCCTGAGGCTCATCCCTCCCTTTGCTTTGGTGTCCTCCTGAGCAGCCAGCAGAGCTACACCCCAGAACTCCTCCTGATGAGCAAACACAGAGCTGAAGGGTGTTCCAACCAGCAAGGCTGGTACAGTCTTGCAATTAGAGCTCCTCAACACAGACACGGGTTACCATAGTGACATAATGCAGATTTTATTTAATTAGGGCTAAATCCTCTTATGTAATTCCATTAGCATGCTCAGTGCTGTGCTCTGCTGGGATCAGCAGTGACAACATCAAAACACTCCTGGGCTCAACACTTGCTTGGCAGCCCAGCGACAACTGGTCGGTGCAGGGGAAGCTGCAGGGGGATGGATGCCAAGGAAGATGCTGCCACACCAAAGGGGAGCAGAAAGTAAAACTGCAAGGAACACTCCTGGTATGTTCACAAAGCAACCCTGGAGTAGCTCCCAGGACAGGACAGCAGTGAGCACAAGTGATTTTAGGTGCCCTGGAACCCAGGGTCTGTGCCCCAGGGTCGGCATTTCCCCCCGGCTGCTCCTGCTCTCCCCTCCATCCACTCTCCCTCCAGGAAATTCCCCCCATGCTACCAATTTTTAAAATCTGTGTTCCCATACAATTCTTACAGCACGTTTCTGGCTGTCCCTGGTACAACCTCCTATCTGTTCCAGTTGTCAGGAATTCTGGCAAACCTGCACCCTGCTCCAAAGACAAGGACTTGCATCTTTTCAATACTATTTTCAAAACCCCAACAAACCAACCTTCCTGAGAAACCCCTGGGACAAGGACTGCTTTCCAAAATTTCTTGCCATGGTGAAGGAGGTGTGGGTTGTTGATGATGCTGTTAGATTAACCACCTCTCATGTACATGCACAGATCAAAGCTATGGTGAAAAAACTCCCCAAAGCTGCCTGCAGTCAGGAAGTGAGTGAGCAGGGGAGTGAGCACCAGTATGTTCCATGAGTTCAGGTCTGCTATGGGGGGATGGGGAAGCAATAATTGGGGAAAAAATCCTGAGAACTCAAATATCCAAGATCTCTAGAATGGAATCAACTGAACGGGTATATCCTGAGTATCTTCCCTATAGAAATGTAAGAATCTTGACATGCAGAAGAATTACTGCAGTCCAAAGAAAGGGGGAAATGCTGTGCACTTCCAGTGCAAGCAGCCATGTGTATTTAGAATCACAGAACCACTCAGGTTGGAAAAGCCCCTTGGGATCACCCAGTCCAACCATCATCCCTACTCTACCAAGGTCTCCCCTAAACCATCTCCACCAACACCACATCCAAACGACCCTTAAACACACCCAGGGATGGTGACTCCACCACCTCCCCTATTCCAGTGTCTGACCACTCTTTCTGTGGAACATTTTTTCCTAATGTCCAGTCTGACCCTGCCCTGGTGCAGCTTGAAGCCCTTCCCTCTTGTTCTGTCACTAATGACCTGTGAGAAGAGACCAGCACCAACCTCTCTGCAATGACCTTTCAGGTGGTTGCAGAGACTGATGAGCTCTCCCCTCAGCCTCCTCTTCCTCAGACTAAACATTTTGAATACAACTGGTGAGCAAACTGTGCTCCTACAATTGGTTCACAGAGTGAAACAGCTGAAGAGCACCGAAAAGCAGAGAGGCAGAATTTAAATCTGCTTGCCAGGTGGTGAGGGATTTCAATCCACCCAGTCCTACTCACCAACACACAAGCCTGGTTTCCCTGCCACAGGGCACTCCTGGGAATGGTCTGGCAGGCAGCCCCTGCAGCCAAGCAGGCAGCACTGCTCTGCCCAAAGCCCTCCAGACCGAGGGTCCTGCTAGAGCTGGACACATCCATGTCTCCAAATGCTCTCCTACACCTCTGATTCTGCAGCTTCAAGCTGAGACCTCACCTGCTGGCAAGGCTGAGAAGTTGCTATGATCAATAGCAAAATGCCAGGTGAGCGTCTAGAAAAAAGCTTCATCAACAGCATCTGGCCTCAGCAGTGTTTGCATCAAGAAGGTGGTGACCTTCAGGATGTCACCACGGGGTGGGGACATGCCTGGCCCCTCATCCCCAGGAAGCCCCTTAGGCTGCACCGTGGACTCTGCACAGCGTGGTTGCTGCTGACACATGTCATGAGAGTGTTCCTATGGATCACAAAATCCCAGATGGGTTGGGTGGAAAGGAACCTTTAACCTCATCCAGTTCCAAGCCCCCTGCCATGGGCAGGGACACCTCCCACCAGCCCAGGCTGCTCCAAGCCCCATCCCACCTACCCTTCAATACTGCCAGGGATGGGGCAGCCACAGCTTCCCTGGGCAACCTGGGCCAGGCTCTCACCACACAAAGTTACAAGTGAATTAAGCCCCCTTGCTCCTTGTCCATTTACTAGAAAGCTTCCTACAGCAGCAAAAACAGGAACTCCAAAGACTGAGAACAACATGTTAATATATCACACTTCTTAAGAAATACACATGGAAACATTTCCATTCCCTCTTCTGCACTTCCAACAGCTGCCAGCAAACCAAAAGTAAACAACATCTTATTCCTGTCACAAGGACTCGTTTGCTTTCTCTAGCTCTCTTTGCTCTACTTGCATTATTGTAAAGACTACTGGGTTTTCCCCCTGATGGACAGATTATTTTTAACACCCCTTCCAGAGCTGTGTGAGCTCCTTCCTGACTATCAAGTCTTCAGACCATCCTCTGATTGGCAAAAAACCACAGAGTATTTACCAGAAAATTAAAAATGTTCCAGAAATGCTATAAATAAAAAAATATGGTAAAGGTTTAAGAATAAACGAGGTTTCCATTTTGCACAGAAGACTCTTGCAGCTGCAAGAGATTCCTGGCCCAAGCCCAAAGCTAACCATCCTCCCCCCATTTGAGAACAGACACATCCAATCCAACAAGAGCTCCAGAAGTGTCCTCATGGCTGCCTCCCATTACAGGAACTTCCCAGCCCCAGGTTCAGCCTCAGTGCTTTCCTGACTGCAAGATCTTCCAGAAACCTGCTGGCTAATTGCAGGGCTGTCAGGCAGCTGCTGGAGGAACCTCCCCAGCCCCTTGGCACTCTCCCCTACCCATTTTCTGCTGATGTTTCACAGCAGACAGGATTTTAAATGCAAAGGCCTTGGTATGTTATTGATCCAGACGTACTTGATGTACTGGACTGGTTGGGTTGTGTTGTTGTTTTTTTTTACAAAGGCTCTAAATACCCAAAGCAGCATCGTGTGCCTGCCTGGCATCTCCATGGCAATCTCCCAGTGCTGGAAGCACAGTGTTTTATTTCTGTTCTTGACACCAAGAGCCCTCTCATTAGGCTGATGCACGCCTGCCAGGCTGGCAGTGCTTCTTGAAATTGAAGTGGGAAAATCTCCTGAAGACATTAAAGAATGTTTTCTGATATGATGCCCCACAATTCATGCCCATCCTCTCCTTGCTCCATCCACCTCAGCCTTAACAAGTGAAGTAGGAGTCAAGGGAGAGCTGCTACCCTGTGAGACCATGGCTACTGTTGGTCTTGGTCCCTTCACATGTTCTGGACTGAGATTTCTAATTTAAAGCTGACATGAAGATCTCATGGCAGCATTTTCACACAATGCATGTAAGTGAAGCCCATTGCTGGCTCACCCACTTAAGCACTGATTAGAACTTCAGGCCATTTGGAAACAGGACTCCAGCAACAACTATTCAGGGAAGGAAAAAAAACCAGAAGGAAAAAGAAACGCTCCAATTATTATTTTTATGTATATATAGATCAAAATCATACATTATGGAAGTGCTCAGGGAGCAGAAGCAGAGAAACTCTACCAAAGGCAGAGGTACCAGGTCAACCTGCACTACACACAACCATCAACTCCACATCCTCCTGGCCAGGAACCCCGATGCATTTCCCACCCAGTTGCCCAGAGCCAGAGCACCACTAGATGAAGACAGAACAGCCACCATGACATTGCTAAACTCCTCAGAAAAGGCTTTCAAAACACATCAGCATTACTGGAGCAAGAGTATGCACTGAGAAGATCCTGCTCAGGCCATCTCTCCAGCACATGCTGGAGGGCACACAGGTGCTGCTCACCTGCTGCTCTCCCCAGAAGATCAAATGCTTTCTGCCAAAATTCATCTCTCACACCAGGGAGCAGGAAAAGGCCCTGGAACTGGAAGTTTTTTTGTTCTGTTGAGCTTCCAAGGCCAGGCAGAAAAATGATCAATGCCTGTATCTTTGTTAACAAAACCAGCCACAGCCAAAAGGAGCCCAAGGAGAATCAACTCATTAATTCACCAATACAGACTCTTCACAAAACCCGCCTGGTTTCTCCCTTTGTACTGGAGTTGGTTTTCCAGGGATTAGCATTTTTACCATGAAAACCTAGTGTTCTTCACAAAAGAACCCGTTCAAATAAGAGTGGGACCTTCCCACAGCCCTGCCCCAGAGCTGGGCCTGCAGAAGGTTTCCTGTAAGCAACAGGAAGCGCCAGAAACAACCAAAGGCTTCGGGGCTCCCTCTGTCAGGGGTTCATGTGCATCAGCAGTCCTGAGCCTCAAGCTGCCACACACTCAGTGAGCTTCACTTTCTCAGAGATCACACGCCCTGACACTCAGAAGTGAGCAGTAGTAACACACAGGTTTGCCTCTGCGAGAGGCACCCACTTCATGCTCTAAAGCAGCACTGGTCACTCTCTGCTCCAGGGATCACTTCTTAAGATGGGAAAACCAAGCTTACTAACAGGCTTAAGGTAAAAATAAGCCCCTACACACATCCAAGGAATATTCTGATGGGCCTACACACCAAAAAATGTTGAAATCCACTGATTTGGACCAATAATGCTCTTAAGAAGCAACTCCACACTTCCCTTTTACTGGACAGTGAACAACTGCAGCTTATAGAAAACAGCCTGGAAAATGCTTTTGGATTCTCAGTTGATCTTCTCTAGCAACACCTGCTTCACAAAAATCTTCCAAGTAGTTTCTGTCAGTGGAAAATAGTCCACCAGCCTTGGCTGCAGACAAAAGAGGGGAGAGAAAAGGACAGAAGGAACTCCCCAAGATGTGCTACAAGTACCAGAGAGGCATAGCAGGGTTTATTTTGCATGCTTACTTAAAATGCACAAATTGTGGTACATTCAGAGATGTTCCAAGTCATTTTCAATATCCTTTCTAACAATCACTTATCAAAGACTCAATTTTCCAATTTTCCTTTATGCCTAAAGGACAATTACTAAATGCATTTCAGTCTAAGGGAATCATTCTTGTCACGGGCACCATCCCAACCCCTGGCAGAAATACACTCCCTTCTCTGCAGGATGGGACATTTCTCTAAGAGCTCAGTTCTCCCACGGAATTAAAACCCCAGCCAGAACTTGGGAGTTCATGACCACACACACTTCCAAAAACTTCTTTGAAAACATATATCAGAATATTTCTTTTGACACTGTGCAAATGTGCCTTGTTTGTGGCAGTCAGCATTTGCACGGGCTCACACAGAGCCTCGTAGCAGCCTGACTAGAACACATAGTATTTTCAAAGTGTTAAAGAAAAAAAATCCCAACAGTAACAAAACGTTCCATGCAGCAAAAAGGATCAAAATACTATCACGAGGCACCCCCAAATATCTGCAGAGTTTAAACCAAGCCAGGGTTTGCATGACAGCTAAAGCAGAAGCACCCAGTACAGCACAGGGGGGTTGGTGACAGAAAAGGAAGGAAAATGGCAATTACCCTAAAAGACATTTCAAGATTCTCGCCACCCCAGATATCCATTCCTGCATCGTAAGTTCCTATCTCTTCAAAGTAGTTTCTGTCAATAGAAAATAGGCCACCAGCCATAGTAGGGGTCCTAGTTGAAAACAAACAGAAAAAGAAAAAGAAAAGAAAAAAAAGAGGAAAAAAGAAAAGAAAAAATACCTTTTGAAAGACACTGTGGCATTTATTGTGACACTACAGTACATTTCACTACCTCAGACATTTTGGCTATAAATATGGTCTATGTATAGCAACTTAAATACAAGCTACTAACAACAACAGCAGGGTTTGGAGAGCATCCTCAGGGCAGGGCCCCCCAGGGGAAGCCCAGGGGAGCCCTGCCCCAGGGAGACCCTCAGGATCACTTCCTACCCACCATACCACCTCCCCAGAGGTCACTTCAGGAGCACTGCAATGGTAAAGTGGATGGAATTTTGCCCTTCTGCATCCAGAGCAGCAGTTCAAATCCAATCTGAAATGCTTAGTGGAGAGTTTAGTGCCTCAGCTTTGCCTTAGAGGGAGACTAAATGTGCATAAAATTACCAGGCATAATCTCTCCTAACAGGATTATAAATCCTTACAACAGGCAAATCCAGTCAGAGTGCAGCTTCCCTCTGTGCACAGATGTCCTGTGTGCCTGGAAATACCCGTGCTGTGATTTTTCAGCATTTAAAGTCCACAGGAGATGAGAAAGGCTCACCCTGCCAGTAGAGCCCTGGCTCCACAGCCCCACACCAAGTGTCCCCATAATGAGGTGTCCCAACCCAAGCAGAGGTGTCTGACAAGGTGTCTGGTGACACACACCAGCTCCAGGGGTTGAGCCCAAAGAGGTCCCTGCAGAGCCTGCTGGTTGGCAGCACCCATGGCAGCAACAGAGGGAACTGGGTGCCGAGCTGCTGAGCTTCATCCTGTCCCATGGAATGGCCAGCAAGGGTCTCTGGCATCTGGATGGAGCTGCCAATTGAGCCTGGCTGGGCAAGTATCAGTCACACTTCTGACCTCAGCTTCAAAACCACCTGCAACGTGGGCTAGACTGGGTTTTGATGGCACACAATGCCAGCTCAGTCATGGACTCACGGTAACACAGACTGGTTTGGGTTGGAAGGGACCTTAAAGATCATCCAGTCCCAACCCCTACCATGGGCAGGGACACCTCCCACCAGCCCAGGCTGCTCCAAGCCCCATCCAACCTGCCCTTCAACACTGCCAGGGATGGGGCAGCCACAGCTTCCCTGGGCAGCCTGGGCCAGGGTCTCACCACCCTCACAGCAAAGAATTTCTTCCTAATGTCTTAGCTAAATGTCTCCTCTTCCAATTTAAAGCCATTATCCTTCACCCTGCCACTCCATGCCCCAATGTGCACCCCTGCAACCCCACACGAACATGTCAGTGCCCATGGCCTGTATGCAAAGGGCTTGATCAAAGATGAACTCACTCACTCCATTACTTTATGTAGTTCATTGTTGGGGAAGACTGGTGGGAATACCCGGTACTCGGTGGTCAGAGACCTGTGCATGGGCAACATCTTCAGCACCAGCACTTCTGCCCCTTTCCAGCTGGGTTTCCCCCAGAGCTCCTGTGCTTGGGGACAGCCTTGTGCCCACACTGGCAGGGAAGGAGCTCCGAGAACTCCTCAGAGGAGCAAGTCACCAGCAACAGAAAAGGGTTCACGTGCGATGCAAAAAGGAGCTGGAAGAGGGGCAGAACCTGAACCGTGTGAGCCCTCCTCAGAACTCCCTCAAGCAGCTGCTGTGTGTCCTGCACACCAGATGAAGTGGCTAACACACCCACTCTGTGCACCCCTCAGGGCTGAGGTGGTGTCACACATGCCACGCAGATGCTCAGCCCTGCTGTGTCACACACAGCCCTTCCTGCGGTGGCTCTGGCCACAGCCCCAGCCGTGAGGACTCCTCACTTACTCTCCAACTCAACAAATCCAGGTAGCTCACCAGCTCTGCAATTATTTCCCCCTCTGCCAGAGCTGACTGCCATTGCTCCCAGAAAAAAGCAGGGTTCAGCAACGTGGTAACACCAGACCCCGAGTTTTCCAACACCTCATTTCTGTTCTTCACAGAATCACAGAGTCATTCTGGTTGGAAAAGACCTTTAAGATCATCAGGTCCAACCCTTAATGCAGCTCTGCTGAGTCCAGAGCTAAACCCTGCCCCTCAGCACCACAACTACACAGCTTTTAAACACCTCCAGGGATGGTGATTCAACCACCTCCCTGGGCAGCCTGACCCTGTGTTTAATTAACCCTGCAGTGAAGAAGTTTCTTCTAACACCCAACCTAAACCCCCCCTGGTGCAACTTGAGCCCATTTCTTCTTGTCCTGTTGCTTGTTACTAGGGAGAAGAGACCAACCCCCCCAAATGAGCATTTACACTCTCTCCCTGAGCTCTCAGCACTGCAAGCTCCATTAATTACCCTTCTGTCACTGGAGAGGGCAAAACCTGCCTGGGTTTCAAAGCTGCTGGGGGGCCCTCAGCTTTACTGGGTCTCTGTCACAAATGATGCTGCAGGCCTGGAGCATGGGGAGCAGATGGACACAGCTGGGCAGTGTCACCTTCCTGGCTGCTGCCACGGGTGTTAAATACCATCAAGTCCTGGGAGAACACTGAAAGCTGACTCTGCAATCCTTCCCAACCCAACTGGTTTTGTGCCAGACTATTGCCAGTGCAAAACCACTGTATTGAACAGAAATTCCTATTCTCGACTCCCCAGAAACCCTGCAAAACCACTTACCCTGCTATAAAAAACTGCCAGGACTTGGTTTGTTCACTGGCCTGGCAACTGGCCCAGTTCCCAGAGGACTCCCAGCCATTCCAACACATCAATGAGCCCGTGCCCAGCGCGGCACGAACCACCCTCAGCTCCCATGGGCACTCACCTCCCACCCTCACTGAAGTGAGGAATGCCACTGGTTCCAGACAAATAAAACCTCCCTCACTCCTGCCTGCACCAGAAACCCTCGTCCTCTGCCTCCTCTCCTTCCTCCTCTCCTCCCCTGGAGGAAGCCAATCTCTGACTGAATGGTCCAGGACTGCCTGTTCTTGCAAAGCCTCAGTTGTAAGCAGCGTTTGAACCAGACAGCTGAGCTGCACACGTGGATCTGGAGTCTTTGGCAATGCCAGCAGCAGCTGGTGATGACAAACAAACAGCATATTCCTAATAACTCCCTGACTGGAACTGGAACTGCAGAGCTCCATGGTGTAAAATGTAGGATCCACACCACGGGTCCTCCAGGGACTGCAACACAGCAGGCAGGGCTACTCTCTGTGATGGGAACTGAATGCTACACAGACACATCTGCAGAACCTCCACTGTAAAAAGAGCTGAAGCAGTAACATTCAAAAGAGCAGGGGTTCCTGGTTTCTTCCTCAGCTTTGCTCTTCATAGCTATTTTTTGCCTCCGTGGAGTCATGCTCACAACTACAGTGCTGTGCTCTAATTAACTCTCAGCACCATTCAATCCCACTTTCAATTTTATTTTGGAGATAAAGTCTGCTTTTCATTTTTTTTGCAGCTCCTGGCAGCAAGCAGGCTTCCCATCCCTGCCCTTTGGACTCCCCACCAGAGCAGCTGCACAGCAGGAAGGACCCCAGTAACCCCGGACCTGCAGCATCCCCACGTGCTGTGCCTGGCAGTGCTGGCCCAGAGCTGCTCCCCAGGGGATCTCAGGGTAGGTGCCACCCAGTGTCACCTCCCCAGGGCCACCTAAGGTCACCTCATCCCACATCCCCACACCTCCCTGTCCTGCACATCTGCTCTAAGGTGTCCAAGGGGCACAAGGGCAACACCACGTGTGGCCACGAGCACATCACTTGCAATCAGGGTGCTGCACCAGTTCCCAACACTGCTGCACATCCCTCGGGCCAGCACCAGCTGCAGTCAACTCTGAGTTTAATCAGCCATAATAATAAGATAAACACAATATGGCCCTACTATTTCATTTTTCCTCTCAATAACTAATTTACACTGGAGAAAATATTTTCGAGAACAAAACATACATATTTAGTATTTATAACCCAGCCTGTAGTGTCCTCAGCTTAAAAAAAAAGCTAAGGGCAAGTAAGGAAATAGCCACAGAAATGTGCTGTGGAGAGACTGTGACTGCCCAGCACAGAAACACTTTATGTAACACCAGATGTAAGAGGTTTGTAAACTGATCTCAGCACAGGCAAGTTCTCTGCTGCCGCAGGCAAAGCCACAGAAGGAGAAATTACTTCACTTGAAGACAAGGGATGCCCTGCTAAGTACAAATACTGTGCAAGGATTTTTCAGGGGAAGAAGAAGAAGAAAATACTAATGAAGGGTTTAGGAAGACTGCTGGCTCTAGCTGGCTCTACCCACAGACAAGGACAACCACACCAGGGCCCACCTGGGGAGGAACTGCCCTGCCTGGAGCCCCCAGCTTTGGCCATCCCAGATCTACCCATTTCCATCAGACCACCTGCAGGACACTACAGCTTTAAGCTCCACCTCTGCAAAGGGCAACTGGCCAGGTTTTGCTCCAAGAACAGGAATGGGCTTTGTGCATAAAATAACCCATTTTGGCAAGGTCTAATGGTTGACAAAGTTTGCAGAGGTGGAGGTTAGTCCAGCGACCATCAGTGGAGGTTCCAGCATTTAGTCTGTGTGGGAACAGGGTGAAAACCTGAGGTGCTTCAGAACAGCAATGAATAACCCTCGCTGCTCAGGCCAGAAATACAGATACACCCACGGCCCTGTGGGGTTGCTGTACCCTCAGAGTAAGAAATGTAACCCCAAGATCAACACCCAGAAGTCCCTGCAAGCCCAGGTAGCATGTGCTAAAAGCCACCGGTCAGATTTGGCTTCTGCAAATACACCTGAAAAAACACGTTTCCACTGATCCTAATGAACCTCAGAGAATGAAATATGTGACTGGACCAGCTCTGTCCCCAGGGTTTCTTCTAAATGTCCCCATCCTGTTCTCACGTACAGCCTCAGTTCTAGCAGAGGACTGAGAAAGGGAAGCTTGATGAAGGGAAAGCTCACTGAGGGTCCTTTCACTTCTGATCATTGTATGTGTAAAAAAATTGTAAGTACATTTAAAAAACCAATCCACCAAGAAATGCCAGCATGTGATGGGCACTGACTGCCATCCTCTCTTCCCCAGGACAGGGAGTACAGAGGGGGGGTTGGGGCAGGGGTGGCAGGACCTGCTGCCCAGGACCTCTTTCATCATCAGCACTTCCCACTTTCATCCATGATGTCTAAACCAGGACTGTTTGCAAACTGGAAAGGCTTCTGGTACCTTCACAAACCCTGTGATTCCTTGGGGAAGCGTTGCCTTTTGAGACTACCCTGGGAAAGGTTACAGTGCTGTGGTGGGAGGTGACCTGGGAGAAACCTAGGTAAGGGGTGGAGAAGAGAAGGAGCACAAGAGAAGGGACATCAGGCTGGGGCTTAAGAACCAGGAGAAGAAAATAAGCAGCAGAGGTGCAGGGTCTGGGGTGTGCAGAGCAGGAACAGCCTCCAGGTGTGGATCTGGGCTCAGAGCCCACACTGCCCAGGGCAAGGCATCACCAACCAGGACAGGGCACCTACCATCCCCAGCACTTGTCTGCCAAAACCACCACAAACAATCCACCTTTTTTACTGGCTGCTGGCATCAAAGCTCCTTCCCAGCTGCCCTGCATGATGGCTGGCTGTGGGATCTCAGTAGCAGGCACTGGATGAATCCACCTTTTCCCACTAAACCTGGAGATTCCAGCAAAGACAGATGTTTCTGTTGAGTCCAATGCCTAATTTGGGAATGAAAGAGTTCCCTTAGCTGCCCAGGCCAGCAACTAGAAAGCATCAGACCCCTCTTCTGAGAGGGCAGCAGCTTCTGCCTGGAACTGAGGGGGTCCCAGGGCACAGCGTGGCCAACGCTGCCCATCCCCACCAGGGAGCTCCCAGCTCTAAGTGATCCTGACCCCACAAAAAGACAAGGATATAAGCAATAAATAAATAATAAATTGCATGGAAGGTAATGCAGAGTTTGAAAGTGCATGCCTTCTGATTTTAAATCTAAAAAGCAAAGGTAGGAATTCATGGATGCTATGGAAGGGAAAGATTCTGAGTGAAACTTCTGTCATGTACGTGGATTTTTAATGTAGCAAAAAGCAGAATTTGAGTGCCATGGTTATATTGCACATAAATGCACACAAACATGTAAGCCAATGATGCTTGTGTTCTGCACTTATTCCATTGTCTACAAAGAAAAAATACAGACATATTCAACTTATGCCAGACTGAAATAATGTCCCTGGATGGGGAAAGCAACACAAAATGAAAAAAAATGAACTCACCCATTTGATTCTAAATTTTTGGTCTGGGTTAGGCTTTTATATCTTTTTATCCTCCCATTTTTGAATATTCAGCAGCTGCCAAAACCATTCTTATCTTAGCCAAAATATGATACTTTTCTCTCTTTGGATGCAGAATCTGTGACTGGGTTTCTGACCCCGCAGGACTGACACGCTGATGCTTTTAGCCTTCTCTGTGTCTAAGAGCTGCCTCTTCAGTCTTCAGCCAGCACAATTACACACCCCCAGAGCCACCTCTGCACTCTAAAGCACTCAGGGTAATTACAGGACAGGTGGCACTTGGCATTAACCTCCTTCCCCCACAGCCTGCTCACTGACACCCATCACACCAGGAGCAGCCCAGGCAACTTCCAGCTAAAAGCTGCTGGGAAAGCCAGAAAACCACAAAAGCCTTTTTTTTTTTTTTTTTCAAAAATAATTTTAAGAGTCAATTAAACACCTGATTTTGGATTAGCTTTACGTACCTCTCCATTTCAAGAGCAGGAATTTGCATTTCTTTGACAACTCCTGGTGCACAGGAGGGATGGAACCAGCAGAGCCCAGCGAGGAACGTGGCCAGTGCAGCGTGAGGCTCTGCAGCTCGTTAGGGTAATTAATGCCACCAGTGTTCATGCACAGCCCTGCTCTAGTGACACAGCTGCTGGCAGACTTCACAGCTGAGTGACAATGTCTGAGACCATGAGAAAAAGCAGTACTCTTGACTCCAGAAGAGCATCACCCCCTCTGTTAAGGACAGAGCCTGCTTCTGGGACCCCCACTCGCTGCTCTTGGGGGGAATAAAGTCTAAAACCTCCAAGTCCTTCCCAGGCTCCAGGCTTTGAAGGACATAAAGTGACAGGTTTTGGCCATCTTCTGGCACAAGTGATTTTGGATGGCTTTTCTTTAGCCATCCACTGCCTTACCTGGAAGGGCTGGCCAAGCTCTGCTGGGGTTGCTGCTTCTGCTTTGGCTCTGAGTTGGCTCCAAGCTGCCCTTCCCTTTACCTGCCTGTTCCACACAATGGGGATATGCAGGACTGGAATTCCTACCACTTCCTTCTGCCTCTCTGACAGGTTTGGAACCATTACATCCACTTGTGAAAGCTTTTTCATTTCTCCTTTTTAACTTTTCATGAAGAGCACAGAAGCTATTAGAGCTGAGCAAACAAACCACTGCAGGTAATTTATTCAATTTGTTCTGTTTCAGCTTCATTTAAATTTTTTCTAGAGATTTTGTTACAGCCTGTGGCTTGAGCCCTTAAATGAAAGAGGTCAGGAATGATCATGGCAATCCAGGACATACTCTTAGATCATTTTTGACTCAGTGAGCATGACCATCAATTTTATTTTCCAGGCAATAAAAGCATGCATTTAAGTGCAAATCATAATTGACTGCCTGGCTTCCATGCTCAAACATGTATTGCAGAAACACATTCTAATTATTTACCTTCAATTATAAGAATCAGTAAACACAAGGTCAACAGGTGATTTGCAGAAAACAAACAGAGAGGGAACTTAAAAAGCAGGTTATATTTTGGAATTCTGAGCGTTGCAAAGAAGCTGTGAGAAAGTTTTCTCAGCTCTGATAACTACACTGCAGCATTAGGGATGGGCAGACTTTGGTCTTCTCTACCCTAAACACAAGCCACAACTATCTGACACGTGTTCCCTCACACTGCAGCAAAATCTTAGGAGTTAAGCACTATTATCTATGTAAAGAAGCACAGAGTAGAGTCAAACAGCACTCTGGATTCACTCCCCTTACCTGACAGGCAAGGTCCTGTCCCCTTTCCTCCTGTCCATCTCTCTCTGGGGCACTGGATACCAGCGGAAGTTGAGCTTCCAGTTGAACCCTCCATAAGTCATGTCTGACCCAGCCATGTACTCAAACGTGTCATCACTGATCACATCAATGATTGGGCAGACAACTCTTTTCCTGGAAGAAAAAGATGGGGTTTTAAAAAAACCAAACCAAACCATCTTTTCATATTCTGCTCAATGTTGTGGTTCTTTTGAGGCTTCTCTGCCTCAGCCCCCGTTTCCCACTGCTCTGGGGGTGTTTTCTCTTCCAAAAATGAGGCCATGCAAAAATTCCCTCTTTCTGCTGTTTTTAGTGGTGGCTGTAGGGCTGGGGCAGCCTGGGTTGGATCTCCACATCTGCACCCTCAGCTCAGGGAGCACTTATAAGGTGGCTCAGGAACACCAACAAGTCCCATTCCCCACACGTGCAGTGGGGCTGGGGGTGCCCAGGGGGAAAAAGGGGAAAGAATAAAACAAAAGAAGGGGGAGAAAAGAAACACAAATGTAAATTTCAGAGCCCATTGGAGGGGACACGGACACAAAGTCATGCCTGGTAAAAAGAGGCAGCTGGAGGGGGGGACACCTAGACCTTGTGACAATCAGTGGCACAAGTTGCTGTCTTTACTGCCACTATTACTCTTACTCTCAACAATTAAAGTCCTGCTGTAAGAATCAAAAGCTTGTTGTGCATTTATTTAGAAATTACATTTATATACAAATATTACTTCTTCACTGAAGAAGTGGGGAGGCCTTGGGACAGGCAGCTCAGGGAGGTGGTGGAGGCACCATCCCTGGAGATGTTCAAAAAAAGGGGTAGACATGTTGTTTCATAAAATGGCTTAGTGGTTAGGGGTTGTAGGGTGGATGGTTGGGACTCAATGATCTTGAAGGTCTTTTCCAGCCTTGATGATGCTGTGATTAGAGAATATTCTACCTGCCTGCAACAAAACCCCAACCAAACTTCACCTTCAGACGAACGCATTGTCCTCACTTCTATCCCACCGCGGCTCCTCCTTCACCTCCTGTTGGAGCAGAGGCAGGGAGGGCAGGAGGCAGCCACGGCCCCTACCTGTCCTCCTTGATCCTGGCCAGCAGTGGCTCCAGCCAGCCCAGGGTGCACTCGCAGTGGGCATCCAGGAAGGTGATCACCTGCCCCTGGGAAGCTGCTGCTCCCCGCAGCCGGGCGCGGATCAGCCCCGACCTCTGCTCCATCCGGATGATTTTGACGGAGACGTCCAGTTTCCTCACGTAGTTCTCTAAGGAGGCCTTCAGAAACTCTGCCAAGGGGAAGTGGGAAGGGAAAAAACCAGAAGGGAAACATCAGGCAGTGAGAGGACAAGGGGTAATGGATCAAAACTGGAAGAGGGGAGATTTAGGTTGGACATCAGGAGGAAATTCTTCACTGGGAGGGTGGTGAGAGCCTGGCCCAGGCTGCCCAGGGAAGCTGTGGCTGCCCCATCCCTGGCAGTGTTGAAGGGCAGGTTGGATGGGGCTTGGAGCAGCCTGGGCTGGTGGGAGGTGTCCCTGCCCATGCAGGGGGTGGGACTGGATGAGCTTGAAGGTCCCTTCTAACCCAAACCAGTCTGGGATTCCGTGATTTCTGTGCTTATTTGAAGCTGGGTTCAGGTGACTCCCAGACTCCAAACCTAAGGGCAGAGTTTACTCATCAAGCCCAGCACTCCAAGGGCTGCCCTGCACAAACACTGCCCTGGCACAGGACACACATTTTGACATATTGGGAGGTTTTTTGGAAGAGCTGAAGCTGAGCCATGCAGGTTCCCTGCCACACTGTGCAGGGCAGCCACACACACACACCCCCAAGCATCTGAGCATCTCATGAAGATACCACAAAAACATTAGATAAGTCATGATCAGTTCCCTTGATTAAACCAGTGATCAGCAGTGAGTGCAACATGATTGCACTTCTGCTGGTTTGCATGTGGTTAAATACAAATATGGCTAATTTTTTGATGAATTTCACCATTTGTGAACCCAAAACTTGGCTTTTAGGAAGAGCTGTAGTTACTTGGGCTAAAGTCTTCCTCCTCCTCCCGGCACAGAGGGACAATAAACCCACTTGTTTTCTGCTCCAGGAGCATAACCAGAGTTAAGTTAATGCTACACAGGGCAGAAACAAAGGATGGCTCTGGCCCTTGAAGAGTGGCAGCTGTATGGCAGCTCCCATTATGCACATGTGGCTCCTCCAGGAAAAATCTATCATTCCACCCCTTCCATTTACAGAAGGCAACGTGGCTCATCTGCTGGGAACACACAGCTCCCCCAGCAGTTTCCCTTTGAATAGAATCATGGAATCCCAGGGGTTGGAAGGGACCTCAAAAGCTCACCCAGTCCAACCCCCCTGCCAGAGCAGGATCACCCAGAGCACATCACACAGGAACGTGGCCAGGGGGGTTTTGAATGTCTCCAGAGAAGGAGACTCCACAGCCTCTCTGGGCAGCCTGGCCCAGGGCTCTGTCACTCTCACAGGAAAGAAGTTTTTTCTGATATTCACCTTGAACCTCCTATGCTCCAGTTTGCACCTATTGCCCCTTGTCCTATCACTGGTCATCACTGAGAAAAGCCTAACTCCATCTTCCTGACACTCACCCCTTACATATTTGTAAACACTGATGAGGTCACCCCTCAGTCTCCTTTTCTCCAAGCTAAAGAGACCCAGCTCCCTCAGCCTTTCCTCAGCAGGGAGATGTTCCACTCCCTTAATCATCTTTGTACCTCTGTGCTGGACTCTTTCAAGCAGTTCCCTGTCCTTCTTGAACTGAGGGGCCCAGAACTGGACACAATACTCCAGAGGCTGGCTTTCCAAATGCGA